CCCCATGAAAAAACATTGCAATATATAAAAAAAAAAACACACGCTAAAGGAGAAAAATATACCTACCTACACCATGGCGTGAAGGTGATGTCACAGAAAGGTCCAGCAAGATCTTGGAATCCTAAAGTTCAGGGGTTCCTGTTGACATGAACATTTCCAGGATCTTGTTGAAAGGTCTATGTCCTCACCATCTCCTTGACCCAAGGAGCTTCTCTTCTTTTTTTTCTTAATGTGATGAGACATTTTTCCATGGGGTGTTGGGTACTGAGAAGGCTTTAAGCAGATGTCATTTTCTGATTTTACAAAAAGAAAACATAGACACGGGTAAGCATCTTTTTAATTCCTGAATATTGTGTTTTTCTTGGAGCCATTTTTTATGAAAGAAAATTAAACTGATGCTTCTTTGTAGATTTCCTCTAATATCACATGGATGGGATGACTATGGGCGCAGCTGAGTAGATAGCAGCCTTTCATATGCCTGAGCCCTGTGTAAGCAGAAAAATGCAATAAGAAATATCATTTCCTTGGTATAAAGCTGCTTTTTATTAGGTGACAGCAATGAGACGGTGCACTAATCTTTTTAATCACCCTCGCCTCATTTTCCATGTCATTCAAAGGACGGGCGCAGCGTGCGTTTAATGAAACCCGACATCACAGCTTCTCCCATCGGTGAGACTCTTTTCTAGTTACTAGAGACCAGCAGAGCGTGGTCTTTAACTTTCACCAGGAAGCGCCCAGCCGCCCGCAGGCACAAATACACCAGAGAGCCTCAGTTGGCTGATCCAAATCTCGAATGGTGATAAATGGGATTCAATTACTGGCTTTATCTGGGCTCGTTTTAAATTTATTACATCTCTCGCCTGCACCCCTCATCACAGGATGCAAAGGGAAATTCACCTAGTCTAGAAACAGCAGTTATTTTACATGGCAGGGAAAGCATATTTAACACTTTTCTGACCAGAGCTCATTATTCCCTAGATGCCCCCACCAAATTTGGCAGGATCAGTAGGCATTGGGTAACTAGACACCAACTCTGACATATTTCCTGCCCTACGGGGGGTGGGGGCTGGATTGTGGCACGTGGGAGTAGAAAATGTTCTGGCATCAGTTGTGGTGACAGTAGAAAAAATTACATAGTGCTTGTGGTCAGTAGAAGGAGGAATAGTGCCCCATTATTGGTGTCAGTGGGAAGAATAGTGCCCTATCATTGGTGTCAGTGTGAAGGAATAGTACCCCATTGTTGGTGTCAGTGGAAGAAATGGTGCCACATCATTGGTGGCAATGGGAAAAATAGAGCGCCATTGTTGGTCTCAGTAGAAGGAATGGTGCCTCATCGTTGGTGTCAGTGGAAGGAAGGGTGCCTCCTATCAGTAGGAGGAATAGTGCTCTGAGGGCCAGATAAAGGCGATCAAAGAGCTGCGGTTTGGAGACCATTGTTATAGAATATAGACCAATGCAAAAAATAAAGTGTAATTATTATATATATATATATTTTTTTTTTATTATTGTTTTTTTAAAATACTGTAATTGTGTCTGGTAATTGCAGTAATGCACACTGCCATCTTCAGGTGTTCTGCAAGCCACAGAAAGAACTATGAATAATGCCAAAATAAAAGAGTGAAGCAGAAGCAAAGTGCACAGGGGACTCCATCTCACAAAAATGGCAGGATCAACAGGCAGGTCAAGAGACTATAAATAACTTAATATAAGATAATATATAAGGCTATATAAAACTCAGAATTGCAAAGAAAACCATTGCCATTTCCCGGAATAGAATGATCAGTTTTCTAACTGACTTGCTTGTTGCTCGGGGTTACGGTTTATTAGTGCATAGAAGGCTGATGGAAAGAACCAGATGGAATTCGTAAGGCTAACAGAATAAAAATGCTAAACACAAGGACAGAAGTCCCCTCCCCCTGGCTATCTTCTTTTGGATGATGTCTGAGGATGACACAGAAGGGAGGGTGGTTTTGTCACTCTTAAGTGTGATAGAATGTGTGCTTGATGACCCTGGACTGCAACTAATTATACACTCTATGCAAATATATGCAGATGAGGGTATATGAGACATGCGGATTTTTCTTCCAAATAATTTAAAATATTCAGAGCAGAAGAAATGACATCATTGGATTCCAGTGTATCTTGCTTTAAAGGTAACTCTTTCTTGGGGGAAAAAAAATAACAAATAATAATATAGTGTATACAGTTGCAACACAAGTCATATTGTAATTGAATGTAATTAAACTTGGTTTTTCCTTTTTATTTTGCAGTGCTGTAATTTCCATGCACTATGGCAATTTGGAGGTGTTCTGTACACAGATGGCGTATAGAACGCTCCCCAGAAATGTCATTTCCTGCTTGTGTGATTGGCTCATTGATTTTCCCAGACGTCTGCACTAAGATACAAGTGAGATTTTGGGAATTCCCTGCAACAAGGTTATTCTTTTTGGTGAGATACTACCAAAGGGACAACATGTCTAAAGGGATGCAGACCCTGCTACTTTCCTCATTAGGACCTTGCAGGTGCAGTAGCTGATAACAGATAATTTTGAAATCACTCTCATTAGATTCACTCTGCACATGGACACAGACAAACCGACAGCTATTTTTTTCAGAATAACAGAAGGTAGGAATCTGCACCCTTAAAGAGTTATTCTTTTAAGGGTACACTGCAGTTAAAACTAAAAAAAAAAAATGAAGACCTTGAATGCATATATTATAGGGGCTATAGCCTATCTGTCAGGGCTCCAGGTATGACCAGAGATGTGTGGACTGACACAGGGAAACGCAGGCTTCAGATATGGTATAAACAATACAATTTATTAAGACTAACAATACAAAACGCAGTGCAAAACTAAACATAAACACAGTGCAAACAAACCAAACCAAACCACCTACAGATAACAATACATACAATACAAAGAGTAGTCAGGCAGGCCGGGTCAGTAGCAAACAGGCAAACAGAGTACCAGGAACAGGCGGGAGAGTGGTCGGGGTCACAAGCTGGGTTCAGTAACTCACGGGCAGCGTGGTACAGAGGGTCGGGCAGAGAATGGTCAGAGTCACAAGCCAGGGATCAAGCAGGAGAAGTCAGCAGAGGTCAGGATCAGGCAGGGTCGGCAACAAGTCAGACAGGAACAGGAATACAGGATACAAGGTACAGGGGCCCATGGAAAAACACACACCAAGGCCCTGACTGTGAGTCTGGCCATTCCTTAAATACAACCCCTGCAATCAGCTTCAGGTGTTTGGCTGATTGCAGGGGTGAGTCTCTGATTGCTGAGAGCGCCCGCTGGCCAGCCCTGGTACTGCAGCCCACAAGGCAGGTGAGTCCCACCATTATTGGCAAGTCCATTCCTGACACTATCTGCTCATGGCTTTTGGTTTTTATTGCTACAAAGACCCAATCCACCTCACTCCTTTTTTGCCAAAGATCTGGGAACCCCCGGATAATCTGTGTGGAAATCAACTGAGAAATTCTTAAACACATCCACTAAGGCTCCTTGGTCTCACCCTCTGATTGCCAATTCTTGTTGTTTGCCTAAATCTTTTAGTAAAGCCAAGAAAATATAAATGTGCCTTTACCAAACAAGAATGCCTATACAAACTCTTTAGGGCTCGTTCACTCCACGGTGCAGAGACGTCACTTTTTCTACACGCATTCTGCAATGGCACAAGGAAATCAGTTGTTCTCTATGTGCCCTATTCACATCATAACACTAGTATGATGTGTAGATTTTTTTTCTGTACAGAAATCTACTACATGTGAAGTTCGCATGAAAACTTGTGTAAACTGACGTCTCTACAAGTGAAATCTGTACATCATTTTTCGCCACTTTTTCTGTATGGTGTGAATGAGGCCTTACAGTTACAGGAATACAATACAAGGCAGACGGATACAAAAATGCACGCACACAAACATACTGCCTGTCCTTTCCTAGCAAATGCACTCATTTATATGCAATAGGGATACATTCAAATTCAGTTAGCTTCTTTTATAGCTGGTCCCCAATTTCCATAGCTAACAGGACTTTAAGCGATTGTAGGAAATGGGTCTTTGGTTTTGCTCTTGTAGTGTAGCTTCTAGTGTTGTCCCATGACAGAGTCCTACTTTCATCTTATGTGCTGCTGGCCTTTTATCTTGGAGGGTTTGTTAGCCCACTTGGGTGTAGCTTTTTCAAACTGGATTTCTACATTAGTTTCTTTGAGGGACACATTACTGTCTAACTTTAGATGGCAATGTAGTACAGTAAATGCCATAAGTCAGATATGTCAGGAGGTCAGGATATTGATTCTTATTCACAGAATTAATTAATCGTCGGTCCAGTGTTTGACAAGAGTTCTTTTAAAACAAGGGGAGCCGCTTAAAATGTGTACTTTCTTGGAGAATACATTGCCCACATGTGTCACAATTATTATTATTATTATACAGGATTTATATACCGCCAACAGTTTGTGCAGCACTTTACAAAATGGAGGCAGACATTACAGTTACAATACAATTTGGTACAAGAGGAAACAGAGGGCCTGGCTCGTTAGAGCTTACAATCTAGGAGGAAGGGTTGAGTGATACAAAAGGTAATAGCTGTGGGGGATGGGCTGATGGAGGAAATAAATGGCGGTTTACTAGGTAGAAGCAGGATAGACTTCTTTAAAGAGAGAGGTGTTCAGGGATCGTCTAAAGGTGGATAGATTAGGAGAAAGCCGGGCAGATTGGGGTAAAGAATTCCATAGTATGGGAGAAGCTCGGGAGAAGTCCTGGAGGTGAGCATGGGGAGGAGGTGACACGAGAACTAGAGAGCAGAAGGTCTTGGGAGGATCAAAGAGAGCGGTTTGGTTGATATTTTGAGACCAGGTTGGTGATGTCGCTGGGGGCAGAGTTGTGGATGGCTTTGTAAGTTGTTAGTATTTGTAATTTTATTCATTGTGTGAGTGGAAGCCAGTGAAGGGATTAGCAGAGAGGGGTGGAGGGATTGGCAGAGAGGGGTGGAGGTCAGTGGAGGGATTGGCAGAGAGGGGTGGAGGACACTGAGTGGAGGTCAGTGGAGGGATTGGCAGAGAGGGATGGAGGACACTGAATGGAGTTTAGTAGATGGATTGGCAGAGAGGGATGGAGGACACTGAGTGGAGGTCAGTGGAGGGATTGGCAAAGAGGGATGGAGGACACTGAGTGGAGGTCAGTGGAGGGATTGCAGAGAGGGGTGGAGGTCAGTGGAGGGATTGGCAGAGAGGGGTGGAGGACACTGAGTGGAGGTCAGTGGAGGGATTGGCAGAGAGGGGTGGAGGCCAGTGTAGGGATTGGCAGAGAGGGGTGGAGGACACTGAGTGGAGGTCAGTGGAGGGATTGGCAGAGAGGGGTGGAGGGATTGGCAGAGAGGGGTGGAGGACACTGAGTGGAGGTCAGTGGAGGGATTGGCAGAGGGGGTGGAGGGATTGGCAGAGAGGGGTAGCAGACACAGAATGGTTGGTAAGGTGGATGAGCCTGGCAGCAGTATTCATGATGGACTGAAGGGGGGATAGCCTATGTAAAGGTAAGCCAATGAGGAGGGAGTTGCAGTAGTCGAGAGATTACCAGATCACAATGTAAGCCCACTTAGATATCGCGTTGTGGGAACGAATGTTCCTGCTTGCAATTTTTAAGCGTTTCTGTGTGTCATGCATAAGGTAGGCTGTTCACTTCAATAGACTGCCCTGTATGAGTTTGTCGCCCAAAAGAAGCTCCGGCTCCTTTTTTAGGTGACAAGCTTAGCACCGTTTTTTAATGTGCATTTTGCCACGTGACAGAATCACGGCAGAATCGCACGGCATTCGGGGTGCCATTAAGAAGATTGGCACCCATGCACGCATTTTGCCACAATTTGAAATCACGGGCAGAATCACGACAGGGCCTAGTACACTCTCAGCTGCAGAAAGTCTGGGCAAATTGCTTGCAATAAAAAGATTCTAATGGCAAACATTCTGATTCAGATAAGGACATTGCAGGGATTTGGGACCCCCGCCCATGTGATCCTGGCTGCAGTGTATTACAGAGAACTCAGGTTTATTTTTCAGGTTTCTACTATTGTGTGTGTTCTCTTTGCTGCTCTTTTGCCGTTGATGCCGGTCCCGGTTAGGACTGAAGCCAGATGCTGTTCCAAGCACTCGCTGAACCGCTCGGGGCTGTCTGTGCCATTCTTACTGAAAGAGGGAGAAGCCTGCCCATTCACCTTCATTATGCCTGTGTTTACACTCTCCTCCAAAATCATTATCGCCCCCGATACTGAGGATTTGGCAGATCTGATGATGTTATTCCGCTCCAAGGAGGAGGATGGAGGATTCATTCTCTGCTCTAAATAGGGAGCCATGCCAATTTATGCAAACGCTTATCTCGGACATTGGATCGCTGGGTTGTTAAATACTTGGCCCGGTTTTTCTTAGAGTATCCGTTGCGTCAGCTGAACTCAGTCCAAACAGCCTATTAAGCAAGCTGTGTGACTTTGAGTTTCACCCAAGCCAATACAAAACAACATTTGAAAGAGCAGATTTTTATAGCACAGCAAACATCAATTCATTAAAGGGAAAATTGCACAAACTGCTCACCACTGCCTGGCTTTAATAAATATCTTTGGTAAAGGATATATTTATCCTGTAGACCTCAGATATAATAGCACACAATGACTGCTTATCTTTCACTATGAAATGCACCTTTGGACTCCTTTGAATTTGTTGCTTTGGAACAGATTCTCACTTCAGGGCTTCCATTAGGCACTAAAGCCTGGCGTACAAAGAAGTTTTTTTTTTTTTTTTTTTTTTTTTTCATTCAACCCAGTGGGCTGAATAATCTGAGAGATCACTGTACTAGCACAAGCAATGTTAGTGCAGCGATCTCCCCCGCACTTATATTGTATTCTGACAGAGGGACTGCCCACCCCCCCACCAGAATACGGTGATCAGCAATTAGCTGATCGGATCTTGGTCCGATGCTTGTTTTCCAGCATGCCCGTTTGAGAGAAGCTGTACACAAGGGCTGAAAGTCAGACAGCTTCTGCTGAACTAGCTGCTTTCTGCCATTAATCGGCCCGTGTGTATCCAGCTTAATGATCTCTCGCCACAGACTCCTTTCCCCTTCATTAACAAGCTAATGAAATAATTAGATAAAACTTTTCCATTCTCGCTACATACCTTATTTTAGACCCAACGACTTTGCCATAGAGTCTCTGCTCTTCTCTATGCAATGCGGGCAGATCATGGCTGGTGGGAGGGGCTGGCAGGGCTGTAGATATCATCTTGAAAACAGAAGGCTATGGTAACACCCAAATGTCATGCTGAGCCTCCTTGATTAAATAGCTCTCATCAGGCATTGTTGTGTGGAGTCCGTCTTTATGACTCAGCTAACGGCCAATCCTTTACAATACTTCTCAGCTTGTAAAAAACAGTTCCCACAATGCTCTATTACCAGGTCATATGACCTGGAGCTGCTGCAGCAGTGCACACAGACTCCAATATCAATAGCGTTTTAAAGCCAAACTCCGGGATTGGACAAAATCTGCCCTTGCAGTGCAGAGGTTAAGGTGGTTGTAGGGTTTACATTTTTTTTTTTTTTTCTAAAATAATAAACATGTTATACTTACCTGCTCTGTGTAGTGATTTTGCCGAGAGTGGCCCTGAACCTCCTCCACTTGGGTCCCCCGCTGGTTATCTGGGCTCCTCCTCTTCTGTGTCTGTCCCCATGGCAATCAACTTGCTATGGGAGCAAATGTGTGGGCTCGAGCTGGGCTGCATGCATCCATAGACACACACAGCGTGGCTCGGCCCCGCCCTCACTCTTTGCTCACAGGATTTGATTGACAGCAGCAGAACAGCTCCCGTTGTTGCATCCCTGTCCTGGGAATACAGGTAGAGAGCCGCCACAGACTGTCACAGTGCTGAATCCAGTGTAACGCTCCATGTACACTGCAGCTGATAAACTCATGTTTAGGAGCTTTTCTGCATTTTTTTTTTTTTCAGCAGCCCCTGAACTCTCCCTAATGTTTTCCTATGTGTCCATGTACACAGGCAGTTGAGTTTACAGTCATTTTTTTGAACGCACCAAACTTGCATTCAGGAGTAGATTTTATCAGCGTTTTAAACGCGGTTAACCGCGTTTATAAGTGTTTGCGCTTGGAAAATCTTCCATTTCCAGATGCTGTCCAGAGCCTTTTTTCATCATGAAAATGCATGCAGAGTGTTTCCCCCCAGTACTCAAATGGACCCGGTACACAATACTTTGAGGTTTTGCATGAAAGAAAATATATCAGAACTGCTGCAATAATTTCTGCACAGAAATGAGCCAGAATACATCCAAACAACACAAAAAAGGACAGCTAATCTCAACACATACTGCTCTCTCTGCTTCTGCTCTCTCTATTTCTCTCAAAATGTCTGAAATAGTTCATTTTTTACTGTTTTTCAGTGCATTCTGGGCATTTTGGAAGGGCTCCTGAAGTTATCTTTAAAAAACGCGCATAAATTGCATCCTGAAAACCCATCTCTTTCAGGGAAGCCTACCCCACCCCCTGCTAACTTGCCGACCTCCTCCACTCTTCCTACCACCCCATCCCCCACAGCTATCTCCTCCTGTGCCACCATCCCCTCCCTCCTAGATTGTAAGCTCGAAAGAGCAGGGCCCTCTATCCCTCATGTTCTGCATTGTATTGGTATTGTTCTGTCACATGTTCTGTCCCCCTTTGTAATGTACAGCGCTGAGCGAACTATCGGCACTTTATAAATACTGTATAGTAATAATAAACGCGGTATGCAAATGCTGCTAAACAGACGATTTTTAACCTACTTTTTCCAGCAGTCAGTTTCCATCATTCAGATGTGTCCTGTGTATATGGAGTCTAAGTATTTAGAGGGGTAAGGCGGCGATATTGTTACTGGGACATTTTATAACGCAGGGAATGCATTAGGGTATTATTATTATTTATTATTATACAGTATTTATATAGCGCCAGAAGTTTGCTCAGCGCTGTACATTATAGTGGGGGACAGAACATGAGACAATACAGTAACAGAACAATACACGAGGGGTTCGAGGGCCCTGCTCTTTCGAGCTTACAATCTACGGTAAAAGTATATTACCTTTAGGACCACTTTGGAAGCTTGTTAAGTCTAATGGGAGCAGAAGAGGCTGCATTACTTTCTGTACACTTTGCTACGGCAGGCTCTGGGACTCTCCCCTTCTCCCTCTGGCATTCAGGCTGTGAGAGGTCTCATGGCTTTATCATGTACAATTAATATTATTATACAGTATTTATATAGTGCTTAAGGGTATGCTCAGCGCTGTACAATAGCGGGGGGGGGACAGAACATGAGACAAGACAGTAACAATACAATACACGAGGGGTTCGAGGGCCCTGCTCTTTTGAGCTTACAATCTAGGAGGGAGTGGAAGGTGGTACAGGAGGAGATGGCTGTGGGGGATGGAGTGGTGGGAGGAGTGGAGGAGGTTAGTTGTTAGGTGAGGTCAGGTGTTAGGTGAGGTTGGGGTAGGCATCCCTGAAGAGGAGGGTTTTCAGGGTGCGCCTGAAGGTGAGGAGGGTAGGTGACAGTCTGATGGATTGGGGTAGGGAGTTCCAGAGGATGGGGGAAGTCCTGCAATCGGGCGTGGGAGGAGGAGACCAGGGAGCTAGAAAGGAGCGGAGGGCACGGGTAGGGTAGTATTTGGGTATCAGGTCAGTTATGTAGTTCGGGGCGGCATTGTGAATGGCTTTGTAGGTCAGAGTTAGCAGTTTGAATTTGATGCGTTGGGCAATCGGGAGCCAATGAAGGGATTGGCAGAGGGGGGAGGCGGATGTGGAGCGGTTGGTGAGGTGGATGAGTCTAGCCGCAGAGTTCAGGATAGACTGGAGTGGGGATAGCGTTCGTTTGGCCAGTGAGAAGGGAATTGCAATAGTCCAGGCGTGAGGTGATGAGGGAGTGTACGAGTTGTTTGGTGGTGTCTGGGGTGAGGAATGTGCGTATCTTGGAGATGCTGCGGAGGTGGAGCCTGCAAGATCTAGATAGCAGTTGGATGTGGGGTAGGAAGGAGAGGTGGGAGTCCAGGGTGACACCCAGGACTTTGGCGTGTGGGGTGGGAGAGATGGTGGCGTTGTTAATAGTAGCAGTACAATACAGAGCTATTGACCCCACGTGGAGACAGGCTTGCGACTGCGGCCGGGAAGGCCTTAGAGAGAACATTTTGTGGCAGTGGTCGCTGGACGAAGGGAGCCTACTGGATCAAAGAGTAAAGTAACTGTTACTCCTTACTCCTGCACCCGAGCAGTGAACCCTTTGGGGGGGGGGGGGGGATTGTGTACTGCTTGGTAGATTTTGTGAAATTCCTGAAGTTGGGATTTAAGTCAGAGTCAATGAATACTACTGATACCAGCAGAAGCAGCGAATAATGTGACTTAACGTGTCCAATGTAGACCACGTGACTCAAAACTAGAGTGCCACAGGATCTGTATATTATATATAGCTGATAGACAAATGTATGGAGATGTGTTTTTTTGGGGTTTTTTAATACCCAGCAGTCCTTCCCTAATGTATGCCGAATCAAAGGACTAAATTTAAAGAGGTCCTGTCATCAGGCCAATCATTTCAAACAGGACTGTTGCTAGGGTTTTAAAGATGTGGGGCAGTCCTGAACACCTTTACTGATAGGCTGTACTTGTGGAACACCAAGAGGAGAAAAGGATGAGGTTTTCTTGCCCTGCGTGCAAGGGTCTAGCAACACGCCTGATTTCAACAACACTCTTCCCATAATACTATACAGTTCCCATAATATTATACAGCATGTGCATTTAACATATTTTATGCATGTTATTTACATGTAAAGTAGTAGTGCACCGAAATGAACATTCCCGTGCCGAAACTGAAAATTCAGGATGCACTTGGGCAAAAACCGAAATGGACAGTTTAAACATTTTTTTTTATTAATTTAATGAATGTGGCTGATGTTTTTACCTTGAAGTCACTCAGGGGCATTTTGTCTTTGCACTTGATTTTGATTTGAAGTCTATGGGATGCGATTTTGCATTGAAATCTATGGGACACGATTTTGCTTTGAAGTCACTAGGGGGCGTTTTTGCATGAAAGTCAATGGGATGCGGTTTTGCATTAAAGTCTATGGGATGTGATTTTGCATTAAAGTCTATAGGACAAGATTGTGCATTGAAATCACTATGGAGCGTTTTTGCATGAAAGTCTATGGGATGTGACTTTGCATGTGAGTTGCCTTGACACATTCCTTTAAAAAAAATAAATAATCGGAGAAGCCATTATCGGCACCTTTTTTTTCTCCTATTAGTAAAATGCGGATAACACTATTTTCAGCCGATACGTTTCGGTCGCTGATATATCGGTATATCCCTAATGTAAAGGCCTTCTGTGTGGATCTCGATCCAGCGATGTGCACGAGAGCCTTGGTTTTCCTGGGTCTCTCCCTCCTCAATGGCTCCTGCTACTGTCAATCACAGCCAGTGCACCAATGAAGAGATAGCATCTGTATGTGAATGGAAACAGAGAACAGTGGCTCGAGAGCAAGCGTGCTCGAGTGCTTCCATATCAAGCTGCTTGCTGTGATGGCAGGAGGAAGGAGCCAGGAGCTTCGGCAGGGGAACCAAGAAGAGGAGGATTGGGGCTACTCTGTGCAAAACCATTACGCATAGCAGATAAGTATAGACATGTTTGTTATTTAAAAAAAAAAAAAAAAAATCTTCCTTTACAACCACTTTAGGACTGTTGGTCACCACCCTCCTGGATGTGATGTCAGCAAGCTCAGAGTTGTCACTCTGTATGTATAATATTCTTCTTCGCTTCTCCTTCAGCTGACATATAAAGGGTTATGCAGGGTGGTGAGGGGAAGGGCAGAGGAGCACAGATATTTTAGTTATGCCCAGAAGAAGGCTATGATGTGCAAGGAGAGGGGGGACTGGGGAAATTACTCCTCTAAGATAGTCAAATTTGCTAGCAAGGCACAGTGCAAGTCATTAAAAATCGTTCATAGAACAAAGAAATGTTGCAATTAGACTTTTTTACCTTTTTGCTTTTTCCTGAACCTTTTTAGGTTGTTTACAGGGTCTCTCTAAAGTATAGGATCATTTGGGGGAAAAAATCCTGATCCAGTTGTGGTATTTCGTGAAGTTGTATTTTCTTTTTGTTAACATTGACTTCACAATTCACAAATTCATCATTATTATTATTTTTTTGTTTGGTGGTTTTTTTGCATCAACTACAGAAACTTTTTTTTTTTTCCATCAACAGGGGTGATGAAAATGTGAACAGGGGTGTGTCTAGGGAATATCTTTCAACTAAAGATTTTTTTTCTCTTTTTTTGTGCTAAAAGGATTCTCTTTCCTGTCTCGGAAAGTCAAGGGGTACGAGTGACAGAAGTAGAAGGAAACTTGCTTTATCATAGCATAGCCTAGGAGATCAAACCAAGATGGCTCTCATTATGCAGCGCACAAATCGCTCTTGTGACATTGTACCTGCCGAGCGCAATGCTAGTCTACGTTTCATCAATGTTTTATTGCTTTGAAAATTTGGGACTACAAATCAGACTTTCAGCTTAGCAGCAAAATGCCAGCAAGCAGATGGCACTTTGCTCTGTAGAAGACTCGGCCACATTTTACCACTCGATTGTCACAATTGTCAGAGAGATGGACAAATAGAAATAAACAATCTATCGCTTTGCAGTAAAGCAGTACAGTCTGCTCACTAGAGCAAGGAATATCCTAAATATGGGTGGACATAGATTGAAAAAGATCCCACAATCTAGGATCCCCTTGACTCTCATCTTTGTTGCTTAATGTGCACTATATTGCCAAAAGTATTGGGACACCCCTCCAAATCTTTGGATTCTGGTGTTCCAATCACCTCCATGGCCACAAGTGTATAAAATCAAGCACCTAGGCATGCAGACTGTTTCTACAAACATTTGTGTAAGAATGGGTCGCTTTCAGGAGTTCAGTGAATTCAAGCGTGGTACCGTGATAGGTTGCCACCTGTGCAATAAGTCCATTCATGACATTTCCTTGCTACTAAATATTCCACACTCAACTGTTAGTGGTTTTATAACAAAATGGAAGCAACTGAGAACAACAGCAACTCAGCCACCAAGTGGTAGGCCACGTAAAATGACAGAGCGGGGTCAGCACAAGCTGAAGCGCACAGTGTGCAGGAGTTGCCAACTGTCTACAGATTCAATAGCTAAAGACCTCCAAACTTCTTGTGGCATTCAGATTAGCACAACCGTGCGTAGAGAGCTTCATCTGATGGGTTTTCATGGCTGAGCAGCTGCATCCAAGTCTTACATCACCAAGTGCAATGCAAAGCGTCGGATTCAGTGGTGTAAAGCATGCCGCCACTGGAGAGTGTTCTCTGGAGTGACCAATCACACTTCTCTCTCTGGTAATCCAATGGACTTGTCTGGGTTTGGTGGTTTCCAGGAGAAAGGTACTTGCCTCACTGCATTGTGCCAAGTGTAAAGTTTGGTGGGGGGGGATTATGGTGTGGGGTTATTTTTCAGGGGTTACGCTTGGCCCCTTAGTTCCAGTCAAGGGAACGCTTAAGGCGTCGGCATACCAAGACATTTTGGACAATTTCATGCTCCCAACTTTGTGGGAACAGTTTGGGGATGGTCTCTTCGTGTTCCAACATGACTGCACACCAGTGCACAAAGCAAGGTCCATAAAAACACGGATGAGCGAGTTTGGCGTGGAGGAACTTGAATGTCCTGAGTCCTGACCTCAACCCAATAGAACACCTTTGGGATGAATTGGAGTGGAGACTGTGAGCCAGGCCTTCTCATCTGACATCAGTGCCTGACCTCACAAATGTGCTTCTGGAAGAATGGTCCAACCTTCCCATAGACACCCTAAACCTTGTGGACGGCCTTCCCAGAAGAGTTGAAGCTGTTATAGCTGCAAAGGGCGGGGCCAACTCAATAATGAACCCTACGGACTAAGACTGGGATGCCATTAAAGTTCATGTGCGTGTAAAGACAGGGGGACCAATAGTTTTGGCATTATAATGCATGTGTGTGCCATTTAGCCAGGGTGCCAAATGGCTTACAGTGCCCAACAGGGTATGTTGAGCTTGCAGGTATAGTTCTACATTTTTGTCCCTGTTCTATTTATCTCAGCCTTTCTCAACCTTTTTTCCGATGGAGGAACCCTTGAAATAACTTTCAGATCTCAGGGAACCCCTGCTAATAATTACTATGTCAGTAGTACAGTAGGCTGATTTAAAAGAATAAGGAAAGTGGAACATTAAAGCCAGCATAGATGGACCGAATCTCAGCTGGTTCAACGAGGGAGCAACCAAGATTCGATCCATCTATGAGCAAGCCGGTTGTACTGAAGTCAATCCATCAATCGAAGTAAGTACAACCAGCCTGTCGGTTTTTTTATATGCGATTACTGCCAGCGAATATTGCCGCTAGCAGTGCTGGGACAAGGTCATCCAGGGCAAAAATAAACTGTGCCCCTTCCCCGTTCATGATGTGCGAGCACCTCCTCCCGGTTCTCTCCTTGCTGCTCCCAGCGCTGAGCTGACAGGAGTAGTGATGCTGCTGTCACTACTCCTGTCAGCCTTGTAACAGGATGAACTCAGCACAGGGTGCCCCCATCCCTGCAATAAACCACTGCACCCAGGGCAGCCACTCCTTCTTTCCTCCCCTTGTCTCAGCCCTCACCACTAGCTGTAATAATTATGTTCTTTTGGCAGAGAAGGCTCTCCACCGGGAGAACACAATAGCTCTGCGGGAGAAATTGCTGTGTTTATGTGGGAATCAAGCGATTTTCTTTCTTGCAACCTATGGTTGCAGGAAAAAAAATTGCATCATCTATGGCTAGCTTTAGTGTATTTGAAACCTAAGGCTGTTGTATTCAAAAATTATTTGCAGTAATACGAATTAAATTAATAATTGACAATAACATCCAGAAAAGAACTCCACATGAAATTGAACCAATGAGAGCACCAAACCAACATTTCAAGAGTCAATTCAACCAGCTAGAGTGAAAAAACAAAAGGGAGCCATCATTTTGAGGACTGGCATACATCCACCTTAACCAGGGCTTAGGAGAGTGTACTGGAAGTTTAGTGAACTCCAATGCTTCTAGGCAGACATATATCGGTAGCAGGGATTCAGCAATCGAATGTTCAGTTAGTGATTGTGTCAGCACCAATGACTTATTAATAATTTTGCACTCTTGAGACATTGGTTTTGAGTTCTCATTGCTTCTATTACATGTGAATTTCCCAATCTGGATGACCCCTGGTTTGTCCAGGGGCCCCCCATTTCACTGAGGGACCGCTGTACCTCTAGTGGTGAAGCTCAACGAATGACCCCTTTTACTGTATGAAAGTCTGTATTCAGTATATTCAGTAACTCACTCTTATCTCTTCCTAGAAGAGATGAATGGTGAGTGAAGTGTCCCCTTACACTGTGGTCAGAGAGTAAAATGCACCATACACTGGTGAACAGTTGGAGGAATACCCCTGACATTGGTGGTCAGTGGGAAGAATGCTCCTTACATTGGTGGTCAGTGGGAAGAATGCTCCTTACATTGGAGGTCAGTGGGAAGAATGCTCCTTACATTGGTGATCAGTGGGATGAATGCTCCTTACATTGGTCAGTGGGAAGAATGTCCCTTACAATGGTGGTCACTAGGAAGAATGGCGGTTAATTGGAAGAATGTTCCTTGTATTCATGGTGCTCAATAGGAAAAAATCCCCCCATACACACGGTTTAAAAAAATCATTGGTGTTGGTGGTTACTTATATGAGAGGCAGGAATTGCTAATTGCTGAAAAAAACCCTAGTAATCTTTGGAGGAACCCTAAGAGATGCCTACTGCTAGGCTACAACTGTTTTCACAAGCATCTCTGGCTCACAGTCTAGTTGTGGCTGGACTTTAAAAGTTTTTAAACCCATGTTAAGCATTTATTACTGTCTGTTTCCCCACTAAGAAGATTCACCCGGCATTTGTCCTGGTGACCATTGTCTGCAGTATAGAAAGTGCTAGGAAATCCAAAATGTTACAGTAAAAGAAGTCTAGGTGTCTCTAATCTTCAATTAGAGACACCTATCCAGTGACTGTTGTCTTAGAGGACTTTTCCATACTTTGGAGAGATTCCAGTCACTACCTATTGTGTCTTCTGGACAGGGAACAAAGAGAATTCTCTCCAATGAGACCAAAAAACTGACTGACATGGATTATAATCATTCCATATCCTGCCCAAAAGATAAAGATAAAAAAAAAATGATTTGGAGTTTAATATACTTGATGGTTCCTTTTTTCGTAGAATGAGCCCTATATTGTGGCCCAATTGATCCTTACTTCTTGCTCTACTGAAACCCATGTGTTCTCCCTACAGGCCTTTTAGAGCAAGCCTTCCATTTGCCTTTTACCCAAGGCTGCTTACAGTACCTTCATGTACTGGTTGAACTTGCTACTTGTGTTTTAAATTTCCTGCACCAGCTGAACTGTTGGCATTCTTCCATTTGGGAAGGAACCCACTCAAGTGTATTCTTTAAAACAGATACTGCTTTGTTTAAAGTATGTCCAGCGCACACAAGCAAGAAAACATTTTACTAAAACCTTGTGTACAGTACTGTGCTAAGGTTATAGGCAGGTGTGAAGAAATTCCGTAAAGTAAGAATGCTTCCAAAAATATATATTTTAATTGTTTTTATCACTTTATAAACTGCAAAGTGAGCGAACAGAAGAATAATCTAAATAAAATCAATAATTTTTCTGACTACCCTTTGGCTTCAAACCAGCATCAATTCAATTCATCAAATTCTTTTGAAAAAGAAAATAATCTGGCAATGTTGAGGGCTATAGATGCAGTGGTCAGCCAAGGAAACAATGCAGGAGATGAGAGAAACATCATGCTTACTTCCCTTCCACATTGGAAGATGTCAAGCAGTGCCATAAGCACAGAACTGGCGGAAACCAGTGGAACCCAGGTACACCCATCCATTGTCTGGAGACGTCTGGCCAGAAGTGGTCTTCATGGAAGCCATACCTCCAACATGGAAACTAGGCTGAGCGGCTCAACTATGCAGGAAAATATAGGAACTGGGGTGCAGAAAGATTGCAGCAGGTGCTCTGGACTGATGAGTCAAAATGTGAATTATTAGGCTGTAGCAGGAGGCAGTTTGTTTCGCCAAAAGATTGGAGTGTGGTATGCTAATGAGTGTCTGCAGGCAACTATGAAGCACGGTGGACGTTCCTTGCAAGTCTGGGGTTGCATTTCTGCAAATGGAGTTGGAGATTTATTCAGCATCAAAGGTGTGCTTAAGATACAGACAGATATATTTCCAACTTTCCATACCATCAGAGAGGAGTGTGATTGGCCCCAGATTTATTCTGCAGCAAGACAATGACCCCAAACATGCAGCCAATGTCATTAAGCACTATCTGCAGAAGAACAAGGAGTCCTGGAAGTGATGGTTTGGCCCCCACAGAGCGCTGATCTCAACATCATGGAGTCTGTCTGGGATGACATGAAAAGACAGAAGGGTTTGAGGTAGCCTTCATCCACAGAAGATCTCTGGTTAGTTCTCCGAGATATTTGGAATAACCTACCTGCCGAGTTCCTTCACAAACTGTGTGAAAGTGTAAGTAGAAGGCAAAGGGTGGTCACACCAAATATTGATTTGATTTGGATTTCTTTTCTGTTCATAGTTTTTTTTTTACTCAATTAACAAAATGCAAAATAAGTGAACACTTCTATTTCTGTAAGCATTCTTCATTTACAGCATTTTTTCACTACTGCCCATAACTTCTGCACAGTACTGTATATTGGGAAGTTTGGCTCACGTTAGGTCTGGGTGTCGTGTAGGTGGTATCTTTACTTTGCAAACTCCAGATTCTGTAAAGTCTACAAGGGATTTGATTGAATTTGGCTGGTAAGTGTGCTGCTGTTACTTTGTCTTTTTTAGGTTACTTTATAGTGGTCTTGTAGTGAACGGAAATTCCTTTACCAAGCCATAATAATGTACAACTTCTCACACAAAAACATTTCTCTATACTAAGAAAGTGTGCACTGCTAAGAATAAAACTAAAGTCCTTATATTCACAGATACGCTCCACTTTATTAATGTAATAACAGCATGTAACCAAGAAGAACCTAAATATCCAATTGGCTCACAAGCGCATGATTAAAAGTATCTCCAAATAATCCCATCCATCAGTAAGCAAATTAGCTAAATGGACCAGATATTGAAGGACTCAGCATGAGTCCTGCTCTGGATTGACCCCGGTCACATGTGCATAAAATTTCATAATAAACATGCCATTTAAAAGACCCCAGGGAAAACTCTGTGCATACAATAAAATCAGAGTACTACATAAATAATTACTGCTGACCTCGCATGACTTGATTAATGTCCAACTTCTGTTTCTACAACGTGACTTGTGGCAGAGTAAGTGATGTCTGCGTGTTTTTTTTTTTTTTTTGCATTTGATTTACTGAAGCTAGAGAGTGCAAAATCTGGTGCATCTCTGCAAAGAAACCAACCAGTTTCCAGGTTTTATTATCAAAGCTTCATTGAATGAGCTGAAGTTAGAAGCTGATTGGCTGCCATGCGCAGCTGCACCCTTTTTTGCACTCTCCAGTTTTTAGTAAATCAACCCTATTAAATCTTTCTGCTAATATCACATCCTACCCTAAGCATTCTAGGCGTCTTTTCTGATTGTTCTCCTGTTCTGTTTACAGATAGCAGCAGTAAGAAGGAGTTTGTGTCTTCGGAAAGTCATCTCCTATATTACCCGAGTATCACGTACACCATCATCGGCAGCTCCGTCATCTTCGTACTGGTAGTGGCATTGCTGGCCCTGGTTCTTCACCATCAAAGGAAACGCACAAACCTGATGAGTCTTCCAGTGCACCGGCTGCAGCACCCCCTACTGCTCTCCAGACTGGTGGTGCTGGACCACCCGCACAACTGCAGAGTCACCTATAACGTCAACAACGGGGTGCAGTACATGTCCAGCGAGGGGTACCAGCCACCAGTCAGCATCGAGTCTCCACCATCCTACAGCGAGGCTGTGCTGGACCACAAGTGAGTCTGGGATTTGTTATGTATTTTTTCATTTCTCGCTCAGGATCATTAAATGTAGAGGTGAATAAAAAATTTTTTTTTGGGGGGGGGTTTATATTTGTACATTTAAAAAGATCTGCTTTTTTAATTGAACCTGATTCCCTAAGCCTTGGTTCACACTGCTGCAACCCCATTGTGATGTGTTTTCCAGTGCGGCTTTCATGCAACTTGGTGCAACTTTAGAGTCTATGGGACTCAATTGACATTAAAGTTGCACCAAAGTAGTGCAGAAACCTTTTTAAAAGTCACTGAGACTTGAGTTGCATTGACTGGAATGGCCGTCATGGAAATTAATTGGTTTTCACCTGTCATGCCACTCTGTGGGGTTGATTTACCAAAGCTGGAGAGTGCAAAAATCTGGTGCAGAAACCAATCAGCTTCTGTATTTTTTTTTTTTTGCAAAAGCTTATTTGAGCAAGCTGCAGTTCTGCAGGCCATAGACAGTTCGTTTATCAGCCGGATTTTCAATTTTCGTCCGAAAGAATAATCTGCCAATATTCGCACTGTTAGTGGGGCAATGTCGTCGACCGATTTTTCGCGGTTCCTCCTCATTTCTTTTATCAGTCATGCTGGAAAATTTACAAAAAACAGACAATTTTCGTTAGCATTAGTGGCAACAGAACGACCGATTTTTCATTTTTTTGGCCGAAAATTCGGCCGATAAACGAACCGTCTATGGCCTGCATTAGAAGCTGATTTGGTACTATGCTCACCTGCACCAGATTTTGCACTCTCCAGTTTTATTAAATCAACCCCAATGTGTTGCAAGTAGCATGCCAAGTTGCACCAGTGTGAACTGGGGCTAAATGTCACATAAAGCCAGAGGCTCAAAAATGTGATTGGAAGACACTCTTAGCATGCTGTAGCTGGCCAATGTTTTTTCCTAACACTTAAAGCAGAACTCCAGCCATTGATCATTTACTCCAGTCCCCTTCACAACCCCTGGACAACGTGCACTCTTTTATGTATCCTAATTTTCTAGCTAAATACCATTTTCTTGGCAATGTATGAGGGTTCTTCAAAAAGTTTCCACACTTTTTATACTCTAGTATACTGTATATAAAAAAGTGCGGAAACTTTTTGAAGACCCCTCGTAATTTAGCAAAAAATGAATTGGTTAAGACACCCCGTGCTCAGTCATTATATAGCTGCTGCCACCTTAAACCACTTAAACATACACTGTTGGCTAACATCACTCAGCAGGTCCAGGCTGGGGAAAGATCCCTACTTCAGTGTCGGGATCCACCCCAGAGTCTGGAGCGCACCTGGCTCAGCCTGTCAGCAAAGTGCTGAGAGCCCAAGCCAGCAGCACTCTCGCCCTCTAAGGCCCAGCAGTCCAGTGAACACTGGGGGGGGGGGCCGAGAGCTGACAGCGTGACTGACAGTCCCATTGTCTGCTCAGAGCGGAGAGAACTCAGTGATCAGTGGTCATGTGATCGCTGAGTTCTCACCCTTAAAGCTGATGGGGGACAGATGCTGCATCCACCTAGGTAAGTAAAATTGGCGGGGGGGGAGCCATACCTCTCTTTTAATGCATTCTATGCCCCCAGCCCGCTTCCCCCCCACCCTTTTTATTAGAGCCCGATCTAATCCAGCTATGAGAGCAGCGGCTCTTGATTTGTCTCCCGTTGGCTCCCGCTGCTGTCAATCAAATTCTGTCATGAAGGATGTGATTTGTCAATAGACATAGACAGGGTGGCTCGGCTTTCCATGGGGGCACTCGCCGAAGCGGAGGGACCTGGAGCACCAGCGGGGGACCCCAGAAGAGAAGGATTGGGGCTGCTTTGTACAAAACATTACACAGAGCAGGTTTACACTGAGCAGGTAATATCATGTTTGTTATGTTAATAAAAAAATTAAGGTTTAATGTCACTTTACTATTGCTTTAATCCACCCTCCCCAAAAAAACTTACTGAACCCTAAAACAAATTCTAAACCCCCTAAACCAGGTTGTATCATTAACCCCTATAATGCTGTATAGCCACCTGATTTTGTGCCAAGAGCCTTCGTGCCAGTAAGAAGCCATCCTGCACCAGAAACATGGAGCAGCAAGGTCCTAGCACCACAATGAACCTGATCTGTCTCCTTTCTGCCCATTGGCTTACAGAGTAAGCACTCCCACTGCAAGTCTATTTCAGCTGATGTGTAAAGATAGATTTCAAGCAACTGAAGTGGAAAAATGGAACTTTGATGGAACTTTTGTATAGTTGCTGCAAGTTGTTCATCCCAAAGTCCTGTTTGTGAAAACTCAATATAGAATATCGAAGCACCAGCTCGACTGAACAACAATTATGTTACTTTTGAAAGATTACATAAAAGTACTAAAGGGTGTTTTTATGTACTTGCCTCAAACTATCATCTCTTATAATTGTCTTATAATTTTTTTTTTTTGATTAGTACTGTTCTAAATGAGACATTTGTCTTTCTTCTTTTAGCTCCCCTCCACCTTGGTTCTCTCTGCCTCCTCCTCCGTATCCCTCCGACATGGAATCTTACAGCCAGACAGAGCTGCCTCCATACCGCTCCCGAACAGGCAGCGTCAACAGCGCCGGTTCCAATGGAAACACTCTGGACAATTCCAGCAGCACTTGGGATCCCGCCAGCCCTGCCGAAGCTCCAGAACCGGTCCAATCAACCAGTGAGTCTCAACTGAGCACAGTGCTGGAGGTCTAAGTTACTGAAGAGACTCTTGTCAGGCTACGTTTACACAGGCGTCACGGGATGCTGGGTGTCCATTCCCGATGCTAGCAGAGGGCTTCCTGGACCCAAAGGGTGTATTGAGACAAATAATACAGGTTACACACACATATAAGTGCTCAGTAAAGAGTCTGCTTCACCATGGTGGGGGAAGAGCATCTGGTGCACTCCACAGAATTCAACCTTTTGATTTTGGTGAGCGGCTCCCCCGGCACCCATGTGTACCCAGTCTTTGACTGTCATGGGTTGGTCTGTGGTATCTTGTTACCAGCAAATATTCCTCATATTTTTATAGAATCCAGATTGTATATTTTTTTAGATTTCTTTTTTTTTTCCTTCTTTGTATTTTATAATGTTTTTTTTTTTTTTTTGCTATCATATATTCTCCCTGAAGCAATAAGGCACTTAAAACATAGTAGGGCAGATGATTTACTTTCCCCTCTTGTCTGTTTAGCGACCACTTAGTTTGGATAGCTGCAAATTAAATTTCAAAGATTCCATTCCAGGCCAGTTCTACATATAAGGATTTTAGAAGGCCACGTTTACAACTTTCTGATTTTTCCCACCTTTGCATAAACGCACGTGCAGTAAAACGTGTTTTGTGATAAAGCTGAACTCAAGGCAGGTTAGTAAAAAAAAAAACACCAATTCTTGCAGAAATGCATTCACAAAAAAAGCAACCAATGTAATTATGTAGCTGAATTTAACTTGATATTGGACTCCTGTCATCCCCTGTACAGCAGCGCTCAGACTGGAAGAAGCAGTGCAAGGGTCCAGTGAGGGGTGCTGCAATGTACTTGTTTTAGCAAGCAACATGTTGATAGTAGGAGAGGGCAAAGTGACAGAGACATGAACTCATCGGTTTTGCAAAAAAATGCTTTAGAATGCAAAAAAGACCTGGGTTCTCTTTCCAAGGAAGTGATGGGGGGGGTAAACAATTTTAACAAGTCTTATTATAATGTCTATAAATATAGGTGTTCACTTTAATATGGCTGCAGCTTCTCTGGCAGAATTTAGGACAATGCCTCTTTCTTCTGTAAAGAAATGAAAAAAGACAGGGGGCGCCATCAACAAGTGTAGACTTTAATGTAACAACTAAAAGTTTAAAATTGCACTCACATATCAAAAGCAGATAGATTTAGAATATAATAATTTATCTCCTTTTTCTATCTGAGTGCAATGTTAAGCTTTTAACTGTTTACATTAAAGTCTACACTTTGATGGTGGCTCCCCCTGTCTTTTTCCTTTCTTAAAGTGGAGTTCCACTCAACCTACCAAAAAATAAAAGTCAGCAGCTACAAAAACTGTACCTGCTGACTTTTAAAAAACAGCCTCTTACCTGTCCCTCTGTCCCATGGTGTGTCCCCTGCAGCCCCATTTCACCGGCTGTCCTGTATTCCAGGAGGCCGGCATCTTCAGTGTGGGCACCCGGCTGTGACAGCTTGCGGCTTCACAGCCGGGTACCCACTGCGTATGCGCGAGTAGCACTGCGCTGAGTGATCCTGTAGTCTTCTGGGACTTGTCACATGTCCCAAAAGACTACAGGGAGGGAGGGAGGACAACATCCGTTTCCGATCACCTAGGCAATCGAACCGGAAGTGGGAGCGGGTACCTATCAAACTCCCCAACCCCCCCCCCCCCCCCCCCCCCCCCCCCCCCCCCCGCTCTCCAAAGGTGCCAATCCTTAATGGGGAGCAGTCCTTAAAGTGGAACTTCCCCTTTTGGGTGGAGCTCTGCTTTAACACAAACTCATCAGTTTATTGCAGGGGTATTGAATTAAAATTCATGGAGGTCCGGTCATTAAAACTTTCATCCAGCAGGGGTCCGAGTCTCGTGTTTGTGCTATGACTCGGGTTCTTCAGATCACAGCCCCACCCCCTTACATTACAGTTTCCCCTTTACATAACAGCCCTCCCCTTTATACCACAGTACTACCTTTAAAATGGCTGAACCCCCTCTTTACATCACAGCACCCCCCTTTACAATACAGCCCCTTCTTTACATTACAGTTCCTGCTTTACATCACAGCCCCCCTTTGCATTCAAATCCCCCCATATTACATCACAGTGCCTCCTCTACGTAATTGTCCTTTGACTCCCCTTCACATCACAAACCTCCTCACCTTTTCATCAGTGTCCTCTGCCCCCACCTCACATCACAGTCCCCCTCCCCTTCATGTCAGTGTACTCTGTCACCCCTTTACATCAAAGCCCCCTTACCTAAATCCCAGTCCCCATCACAGCCCCCCTTTCCTTGCACCCCAGTCCCCTTTACAGCCCCCCCATGCATCTCAGTCCCCTTCATAGCCCCCTCCCCCCCTCCTTGTATCCCAGTCCCTTTCACAGCCGCCCTTTTTTACACCCGGGGCCCCTTTACAGCCCCCCTTACTTACATCTCAGGCCCCTTCACAGCCTGCCTTCCTTGCACTCCATTCCTCTTTACAAACTTACTTGCATCTCAGTCCCCTTCACAGCCCCCCCTTACTTGCACCCAAGTCCCTTTCACAGCCCCCCTTTCTTGCACCCTAGTCCACTTTACAGCCTCTCCTTACATCTCAGCCCCCCCCTTCCTTGCACCCCAGTCCTCACAACCCACCTTCCTTGCTCCTCAGTCCACTTCACAGCCCCACTTCCTTGCACCCCAGTACCCTTAACAGCCCCCCTCCCTTGCACTGAAGTCCTCTTCACAGCCTCCCCTTTTTACACCCCAGTCCCCCTTACAACCCCTCCTTACTTACATCTCAGTCCCTTTCACAGTACCTCCCTTCCTGAACCCCAGTCCACTTCACAGCTCCCCTTCCGTGTACCCCAGTCCTCTGTTCAACCTTGTTTGCATCTCAGTCCACTTCACGGCAACCCCCCCCCCCTTACGTGCACCAAAGTCCCTTTCACAGCCCCCCTTTCTTGCACCCCAGTCTCCTTTACAGCCTCCCTTACTTACATCTCAGCCCCCTTCACAGTCCCCCTATTCATTGCACCCCAGTCCTCACAACCCTCCTTCCTTGCACCAAAGTCCTCTTCACAGCTCCCCTGTTTTGCACCCCAGTCCCCTTTACACCCCCCTCTTTACTTACATCTCAGGCTCCTTCCCATTTCATCCGTTCCTTGCACCCCAGTTCCCTTTACAACCCCCCTTCCTTGTACTTCAGTCCACTTCACAGCCCCCCTTCATGCACCCAGTAACCTTTACAGACCCCCCTTACTTGCACCCAGTACCCTTTACAGACCCCCCTTACTTGCACCCAGTACCCTTTACAGACCCCCCTTACTTGCACCCAGTACCCTTTACAGATCCCCCTTACTTGCATCTCAGTCCCCTTTAAAAACCTATTTTTTGTATACTGTCCCCCTTCACATCCATCCCCCACCTTCCTTCCTTGCAGCCAAGTCCCCTTTGTATGAATGCCCCCTCCCTTATATTTCCCCAACCCCCCCCCCCCCCCCCCCCACCCCCCTGCCATTCACAACCCTCCTTTTCAATTCTACCTTACACAGCAGGTAGAAGGCATGGCGTGCCTGGACAGAGGGCAGGACATATGGTACATGCTTTTCATGTTAACAGGCAGGTGTTTGGTTGCTAGTCGTTCCTAGCAAGCAATCACCGGCTTGTTAACTTGAAAAGTTGGATAGCTCCCGCCCGCTGTCTGGACATGCTGTGCCTTCTTCCTTCAAATGTCAGATTCATTCTTCCTTATAAAGATGAATGCTGTGGCAGCAGAGGCGACGGAGATTGGTGGGGGGGAGGATATCAGCTGCAGAGGATATTCAGGCTGCTAAGTGTCGGAGCCGCGGTCCATATAGGATTGTCATTCGGTCCGTTTGCAGACCGCGGTCCGCCGTTTAGTGATGCCTGGTTTATTGCTTCTCGTTTCACTGCTGACAATGAACTACTGGAGAACAAAGACTTGGGTAAAAGTATAGCAAGGGCCACCATTAATAATCATGGTGTAACCAAATGACACCATCTCATTTAGAGCCATATGGCCCAAAATTGGGTCTGAAAGGCGAAGGATGAGCTCACACCTTGTTAGAGTAGGCAGGACTAAATGGTAAGGTGAATCCTTTGATACCGGGTGCTGGAGATCCCTGGTGAGGATCTTCTGGAATGCACTGAGCATAATGTTGGCTGCTAAGGTGAATATCTAGAATGTGGAGTCTGCCATGACAGCGCCAGCGGCTGTACATATACAAATCATTCGCTTTTGGCCTTGTACACAAAGAGAACAGCAGGTTTTTTTCAAAGCATCTGTAAAGCTTTGAGCAGCTTTGTTGAAGACTTTAAAGAAAACTTCAGTTCCGGTATGAAGTACTTCCAATGAGGTCTATGTTTAGCCTCCCGAAACTGGAGCTGAATGGTAGTTTAAAGGCATCAACAAAGCTGCTTGACAATTGCTGTATACTGTACACTGCCTGTATACAAGCTGAAGTCATGATGCAGCAAAGCTGGGGAGCGATATCAGGGACATCTTAATAGCATCATAGGCCCCTGTTCAAAGGGATGCCATACCAGCCTGCCACAATTTACGCACCTACTCTCAAGAATTAAAGTATACAGAGTTGATAAAACTAAACATATACAGTGAAGGAAATAAGTATTTGATCCCCTGCTGATTTTGAATGTTTGCCCACACACAAAGAAATGATCAGTCTAAAAATCAAATGGTAGGTGTATCGTAACACCGAGAGACAGAATAGCAACAAAAAATTTCAAAAGAAAAGCATGTCTAACAAATGATGACTGATTTGCATGTTCATGAGGGAAATAAGTATTTGATCCCCTATCATTCAGCAGGATTTCTGGCTACCAGGTGTCTTTCATACAGGTAACAAGCTGAGATTATAAGCAGTCTCTTAAAGGGAGTGCTGCTAATCTAATTTTGTTACCTGTATAAAAGACACCTGTCCACAGGAGCAATCAAACAATCAGATTCCAAACTCCCCCACCATGGCAAAGACCAAAGAGCCGTCCAAGGATGT